GGTATGTCACTGCCTGTGATAACAATGTCATATACCACCAAGAGAATCTTCCTAGCATTTGACTCATAGCTAAATACGAAATGGTCAACCTGACACTGCTTCATTCCAAACTTCTTCACCACTTCACTAAATCTCCCAAACCATGCACGAGGAGATTGTTCAAGTCCATAAATAACCTTCTTAATTCTACATACCTTCTCACCCCCCCTGAGCAACAAACCCTGGTGGTTGCTCCATGTACACCTCCTCAAGAAAATCACCATGTAAAAACGCATTCTTAATGTCAAGCTGAAATAAGGGCCAATCAAACATAGCAGTAAGAGAAATCAAAACACAAACTGACCCAATTTTGGCAACCGGAGAGAAGGTGTCTATGTAATAAATACCATACTACTGTGAATAACCTTTGGCAACTAACCAAGCTTTTAACCGTTCAACACTCCCATCAGGTAAGTATTTAACAACTGTGTACACCCACTTACAGCCGACAACATGCTAACCAGGCAAAAGAGTGATGAGGTCCCACGTATGAGTACGAGTCAGGGCCGAGAGTTCTTTTTCCATTGCTTGGCGCCACCCTGGAGAAGTGAGGTCTTCCTGGACATCCTTTGGAACAAAGACAGAGGATAACATAGAAACAAACTGTCGATGGGAAGCAGAAAGGTGAGATACAAAAACATAATTGGAAATGGGGTGAAGAGTGCAACTGCATTTACCTTTCCACAAAGCAATAGGAAGATCAAGGTCAGAACTTGGGGTTGGGGTTGGGGTGGGAACAACTATCGGATTTGTCGATGGTGACAAAGCTGAGGGAGAGCCGATGCCTGACGATGTGTATACACTTGCTGGATAGGTGGTCCTCTCTCAAGTAGCGGCACTAGAGGCAAAGACTAGGTCAAACTGGAACAAGAGGAACAAGAGGAACAAGATCCTCAACAAGAACGGGAAGAGGGGGTGATGGCAATGGAGGAGAAGTATTCAACTTAGAGAAGAAAGGAACAGACTCAAAAAATGTAACATCAGAACACACAAAAAAACGCCGAGAACAAGGATTGACACACTTATACCCTTTTTTAGTCCTGGAATAGCCAAGAAAGGCACACTTAATGGATCTAGCATCTAACTTATCCACTCTAGGCCCCAGATTATGAACAAAACACATGCATCCAAAAACTCTAGGAGTAAGGGGAAAATGAGACATGGGAAATATAACAGAGAAAGGGGACTGACCTTCAAGGATAAACATGGGCATACGGTTAATAAGAAGCAGGATGTAAGTACAGCATCACTCCAAAAGGGTTTGGGGACATTCATCTGATGTAAGAGGGACCGAGTAGTTTCCAAAAAGTGACGGTTCTTTCTTTCAGCCACCCCATTTTGTTGAGGGGTGTAGGTACATGAGGTTTGATGGATAATGCCATGTTGTTCCAAATATTCTTGAAAGGGTGTGGAAAAATACTCGCAGCCATTATCAAAACGAAGAATTTTAATATGTACACCAAATTGATTGCGAATTTCAGCATAAAATTTCTGGAAGATAGAAAACAATTCACTCTTTTCTTTCATAAGGTAAAGTCATGTCATCCTTGAATAATCATCAACAAAAATTACAAAGTACTTATAACCATTATAAGACACTACTTTGTTTGGACCCCAGATGTCCGAATGGACTAAAGAAAAAGGAGTCAATGTATGACTATCAACTCTAAGACTAAAGGAGACACTATGATGTTTCCCAAACTAACACGAATCACATTTTAAATTAGAAAGACAACTCAACGACGGAACAAGTAACTGAAGAGCTCTAAGAGATAAGATGACCAAGTTTGTAGTGCCACTGATGAGGGGAGAGAGATGATTAAAGAGTTATTGTCGAACCACCTCCATCAAGATAATATAGTCCACCAGCTTCATTCCCTCCACCAATCTTCACCCTCGTCTTGAGATCCTGAAACACACAAGAGGAAGGGTAAAAAGTTATTGAGCAATTAAGAGACTTAGTCAGTTTACTAACAGACATTAGGTTAAAGGGAAACCTGGGAACATATAAAACTGAGGAGAGGGATAAAGAGTCTATGTCAGCATTTCCAACATCACGTATGGCTAATGTAAAGCCATTGGCAAGAGTAACAGATTGGGAAGTGGAGGATGGAGAAATGGATGAAAACACTCATGGAGTTCCAGTCAAATGATCGGAAGCTCCAGAATCTATAATCCAATGAATAGCTCATACTCATCCCGTAAAACACTCACCATCTCCTTTTTGGAAGCATCTGTAGATGTAGTGGGGATCTAATTGGTAACTTGAGATTCTTGTCTTGAGCTACCACCATTTACAGCTGCATGATTTGCCCAGGTTGAATGTGGGCCATGTAGATCATAGCAAAAGTTGATAGTATGTCCCTCCATAGCACAATGAGTACACCTTCTATGAGTATTACCACATCTCCTACCACGGGCTCCCCCTGAGTCTCGTCCTCCAACACCACCACCATCATGATTATACATGCCACCACCACCACGACCATACATGGGTCCACCACGACTATTCTGACCCCCTCTACCACCACGACCTCCCCCTCTCGTAACTGCAAATGCAGACCTATCTAACATAGTGAAAGTCTCTGTGGGTCCAATTGAAATCCTCTGAAGACGAGCAAACACTTCCTCAAGAGAGGGAAGAGCAAATCCACCTAGTATCTGTGCCCTTACGAGTTCATACTCAGATTTCAGCCCTACTAAAAATCTGGTCACATCCAACTACTCTCTCTATTGTTGCTGAATTTTAGGCATTCAGGTAGTCAGTAGGGACCATCACATTAGTCTTGCTACCACTGTTGTCTCCCATAGCTGAATTCTGATATTGTTGAATTCGGCATACTGCACACTAGACCACACCACACACCGGTTTCAGCACTTAGTACTGCTGAAAATTGCACTCTTTACACCACAAACCCTACCCCACAACTACCTGAACACTCACCACACTGTTTGAGGACCACTCCCCTTTCGAATCATACTGAAAGAAAACATAAACCCTAGCATGCTACAACCTAAAATCTCACCATACAATTTGAAACAGACTTATGATTTGATTCACAGCACGAAATTGTATAGAAATCTCTTACCTAATCACTAGAAAATCAGACCACACGAGACATCCACTGCACCACACGAATCAGCCCTTTTCTCTTCATCGATTAGGGGAGGGCTTCTTAGAAACCATAGCAACCAACCATAAACAACACAACTTGAGGCATAGAAACCTCCAAGAGAAGGGGGCGACCACTCCTTTTCAGTCCGTTTCCTTGTCTCCAACAGATGGCGAAGAAACCAAGAGAAAACCCTAGATTGGGTGCACAGAGAACAGAATTCTAAGCAGGTCTGATTTGCTCAGGTTGGCTCTGATACCATATCAGGATTCGGCCTGCCCTTGAATCCTATTAAGCTGATAATAGTCAAGAAGAAGGAAGAGAGAGAGAGAGAGAGAGAAAGAAAGAAGAAGAAGAGAAGAGAAGAAAGAGAGAGAAAGAACTAGTTCAAATGAGAGAAAAGATCACTCTCCCATTCGACCAGAATTGATTTATATCACTTATATCGTGGAAAAGGCACATCTGCCCCTACTTAAGGGACACTAAATCTAACATAATCTTACACATCAGCACATAAACATAAGTATAAAGACAGAACTACCCCTACATATTCGACACTAACAGGATTTATTCTTTCAAAACAAGAGTGGTTTGCAGAACAGTGGAAAGTTTCTGGTTATTTGTGGGGAGGGGTTTTACATGTTTATGGTTTGTCCCTGTATTAGGCTGTTGTTTTGGTAGCCTATTTGTAAGCCAGTCCTATTCGTCACAATATTACTTTACCTTTTCAAAGCAAAAAAAGGTACTTCTCTATACCTAATACCACCATGGATATTGACTTACCTATAACCTTGCACAAGGGGAAAGGACTGCACACAGTCTTCTAATTGTGTTTCCTATCCTATTTCCAATAATATTTCATATAATTATTTTATCTCCATCCCATTGTATCCATCCATCTACAACATCCTTTGTTTCAATTCCTAAAAGTATAATAGTAGCTATAAAGTCTTCTCAATGGAAGGATACCATGGCCCATGAGACGGAGGCTTAGTTATCCTTCCATGATGCAAGATTGATCACAGCTTCACCAGTTAACTTGCACACCAAGAAGGCAAGAACTAGCCAATAGCCACTAACCAATTCCAATGACTAATTATCATAGATGCCTTCACATGCATGATATTAAAAAAATGGAAACCAATTTCTTGGATTAGCAAAATATGAGGACGCAGAATGATAATAATCTTTCTCATTGTCAACACCACCAACAGAAAAAATAAATAAATAAACACAAAATAAGCATACAGGAAAACAACAAAGAAATGGTATTGATAAGAAATGGTTGAAGGAAAAAGGAAGAATGAATAGATGAATGAAAACTATTCTTCTTTGTACGACCAATAATTCAAAAACAAAACTAATGATAACCATCGTCTCTCTTCACCTGAAATAGCAATCATAGTAAAGTTTTCACTAATCATTTAGATATGATTCATCTGTACTCCACAAGAGCCAAAACATAATCGAATTAATAAAATTCCTAATGCCTTCAAACATATCAGATTTAGTGTATCAAAATAAAGCTCACATTATTTCCTTACCAAATACAAATACCGAAATTCTTAATCATCAAAACTCACCTAGTCAAAATCAAATTCCAATATCCAAAAACTTACTAATCTTTTATGGGGACCCTTCAAAGAAGTGAACGACAACACCCAAGTAAAAAAAACACGGAAATAACCAAAACCCATTTCTTCATTCAGCCTAAAACTCTCGAAACACTGAAATTTCTTGGTTTCCATCAATGCTCACTTCAACAAACAACCAACCCAATGCAACCACAAGAAAGAAAGACCAGGAAAATACACATTAACTCTCATTACAAATGAATAACTGGCAAACCTTCAGCGGTTCCCATACGAAACTCCCCCAGTACTTTGGCTATTCGAATTCGGGTGACTTCTGTGACGGTAGGGTTTTGTTGCTCCCTGTCATTTCTGTTCTTGCCTTTCTTTCCTGATCTCGTCATCTTCTATTCTTGGGTTCTTTCTTGTTCTGCGTCTTCCCGGCAAGAGAAGGAGAGCTTGAGAAGAGAAGCCGCAGCTTATCAGCTTTCTATGTGTTTGTCTTTCTGCCCTTCCGTCCCGAGTCCTGCCTGACCTATTATTTGTATGTGCTGTTCATTTAGGTAACAAACTGAATGTTTTTCAAACAGGAGCTCTGGTGGTACGAGTTCACAGTTATACGGAACTACAATCACCGTTGAAGTGGAATTACCACATACATGGGTCCCAGACGTTATTCCACATGGACGATGACAAAAGCATCCGTACCGTGAACCGAATGGCTAGGATTGTTTTCCACTGTATAGGAATGTTCATGTCGGAGCAGGAGAATGGTGCGAACTGATAGGTTCTCTCCCTACCCCTACATGTAGCATATATTTAGTGGGCCACAGACAAAACTAGGCGCTCCGATAACCCGTCCTAATTACAGGGCTAAGTATTCTAGGGTCATCTACTAAAACACCTCCTATACTTTTTTATGAATTTATTAAAACCTATTTTATAGTTTGTATTGTATTATAATCAACTTATTTAATCAATATTTTATTAGAATTTAGAAGAAAATGAAAAATCACAGTTTTAAACCTAACATCCATTCAAATAAGATTAATGTTGTAGAGTTTTTATATACATTTTATTTCAATTATATTTCTCATACCTAATGTTGGTAACAACTATTCAATATTGGATAAAATGCATACCTTCACCATTTGGACTTTCCATGACAATCTTAGATTCGAAATATTCAACTATAAAGTGTTTGTTGAATAGGGAAATATGTTAAAATATTTTGAATACAAGATGTGAATTAAATTCTTACGTGTATACTTATAAATTTATTTTTTTGAAACCTATGTACAATTATTTTATATTATATAATAAAATATAGTATAATATAATATAATGTAACATATATTAATAGTTATATATGTACAATGTTACATAATATAGTTGGGTGGAGTGGGCAAATACGATTCCCGCCCTGTCCCCAATTCCTAGAGTTTCAAATTTTCTCGATCAATAGTCAAAACACCCACTTTAACCAAGGTGGAGTAGAGAGAGGCCCCACAGGAATTGATCAAATTGTCATCTCTATTTTTTACAGATTGAACATGCATTGTACGAAAGCCTTTGTTCAATGTCGTCAACAAAATGTAAAATGCCCCATTATTTGATAATATTGTTAATGCGTGTGTGATGGATGGTGATTTGACCCAACCTCATCATAAGAGGACACGTGGACGTGACTCTGCATAAGTGACAATTCAGCGCAACCAGTCCGCCAATATCCAGTGTGGCAGCTCGGTATCAAATGACGCTCCGATTACTCCGAACTCTCTCTCAAGGGGGGAGCGCCCCGAGGTCCTTCTAGGTGAGGAGTCTCGAGCTCCTCCTAAGTAAAGGAGCTCCTCCTCAATAAGAAGCCCCCGAGCTCCTCCTCAAGAAGGGAACACCCCGAGCTAAGATTCTTCTAAGGAAGTGTCCCGAGCTAAGGTTCTCACAAGGCAGGAATCTCCCAAACTCAAGGCACTTTGGGGTGAGCTCGAGAGCCTCCTAAGTTAGAATAAATATATTCCTGCTCAAATCTAAGTAGGCCACCTCGAGTAGAAGCACCTCAATACAGCACCTGCAGCTCAGTGTATCACAGGAAGATCTGTCTGACAACTGTACTTGCCAAATCTGAGGACCTGCACCCACGTCTCTCGCCAGGCGGTGTCATGCCTGCCAACCCTGAGAGGTGTCCCCCGCTTGGCAGAGTCATACTCTGCAACAGTTACCTGCGCAGCCCTAGCAAGTAACGGTTATGGCAAAGGATCAAAGGCAGTTATGTTTTATTTGACAGAACACCGCTATATAAGAGCTCCGACCCCCAAAGAGCAAAGGTAATTGCAAATTGCGCATCTCCACTCTTAGCTTATTTCTCTGCAACTCTCTCTTTCTTAGCTCTCTACCAAGTTCTGATTTAAGCATCGGAGTATTCCCGCTGGGAGAGCTCCCCGGGAATTCTTCACCTTCTTCCTTACAGGTATCTTGTCCGACACCAGGTAGGAGCACAGCCTCTGCCAGATAGGAGTGCTCAGATCACACACCATCACGTGTAGAAACAAATGCTTGAAAAGGGTTAATAAATGTACTAATAGAAAAATGTAACCTTAATTATAATTTTGTTTTTTATTAGTATGAATAGTACGTATAATGGTTAGAGGGTTGTTAAAGAATTGAATAAAGAAAGAGTTATTGGTTTATCGACATAGCCTGTGAGGGTGACCCAGTATTACGAAGCCGCTCAACTATTCCTTATAATTATTGGCTAGGTGTGATTATAAACTATATTATACATAAAAGTTTTTTTGTTCGGTGTGCTAGATGTAATACATTGCCGAACCATGACTGTGGGTTGGATTTTAGTAAAACTCGTCATTTGGACCAAAAGCGTTTGAGGGCAGTTAAATTGCATGTTAATCCCTTCAATTCGCTAAATGAGTCGTGGGTTATACATAAAATGTGTTTGTAAATTTTTCGAAGGTCATAACTTTGTATTCTGATTTTAGGCCATAATTTTTGTCATAAAATCACAATTTTTAGTATTTCATAAATAAAAAATTAAAATCTGAATTAAAAATATAAATTAAACATTAAATAATATTTATATATACATATATTATATTTAAAAATGAGGATACATTTTTTTATTGATAAAATACATGTTTATACATATCCGTACACACACACACATATATATATATGCAAAAATTTTAAAATTTAATTATTTTCAACTTTTATATATAATAAATTAATATAAATTTAACATACTAAAATTTATTATATATATTCATATATAATATAATATATACAAATAATTTTAAACATAATTATATAGATTTCATATAATAAAATCAATAAAATATTTTAATAATAATATAATAAAATTCAAATTTTAATATGATCAGATGGATTTAAATTTGGATCCTATTTAATTATTAATCGAATATGGATTATGAAGTCAAAATATGACCAAATTATGTTCTTGTTTGGCAAGTTTTTTTTTAGAAGATCTATTGCAAGATCTAATGGTTAAAAGACCAAGTGAACCTTTGCAAATAGATCTTGGAAGACCAATGACTATTTGGTTGAAACATTTTTTATAGATCTCGGGAAAGACCATAAAAGCTAGATGATTGTTTGGTAATGTGATGAATGTGTTATGTATATATGAATGTCTCATGTGTGGGCCAGCAAACCATTCATTTAACACATGTGGGACCCATATACAAGTTTAAATATGCATTTCATAGTTGTGGGCCCCAAGTGCACTCACCATAAATGGGCCCTACATTAAGTCCACTTATGCATATCCTTCACTATGGAGTCCACAAATATTTTTTCAAGGTGGGTCTCACATACATTTCAAAATAAATATAATATGTAATATGGACCCCACAAACATTTCAACATATGCATAATACATAATGTGGGCCCCACATGCAATTCCAACTATGTTTATCCTTCATTATGGAGTCCATAAATATTTTTCAATGTAGGCTCCACATACATTTCAGCATATTTATAATGCGTAATGTGGGCCCCCCATGTAAGTCCACTTATGCATGCCATTCATTGTGAAGCCTATAAATGTTTTTCAAGGTGGACACCATGTACATCTAAAAATATGCATATCCATCATCATTGGTGTCTACCATGTCAAGCCTCATTAAAAACTATTCTTAATTCATTTTATTGATAATACATAATATCCAAATTTGATTAATTCTGATGGATAATATTTAATTCAAATTCAAATATTATTGCTAACAGGAATTCAAATTTAGATAAATTTGATCTAGATCCAACCCATTTACAGCCTTGAATAATAATGAAAGCTCTAGAGAAAGAGATGTGCAACTCGATGTGGTTTCAGTATGAGGTCAATTTGAATAAATAGCATGTTTTTTAGACTCTAATTGATTAGATTAGATCTAGAGGGTCGGTGTATGCATGCTTTTCACAAATCCTTATGCTTTAGATATTCAAATATGTAGCCAATCTTTATAACTTGGAACCAACTAGCAATACAAATGATTATGATGGAGCAAAATCTGTTTCACACAATGATTCTAATATTTGGTGTAGCCAATATTTATAGCTAGTAATCCTCTGTGCCACTTCACTGTACTGGTGCTCTTAAACCTTATAAATCCATAAATTTACTAGAGCCTTGCCAACTTGGCTATCCAGACCATTCTTGTTGAATTATTGCTGTGGTTGGATGGATATCTATGATAACTTTCTATGCAACAGGTGGAGCCTAACCTATTGCTTTTTTAGGTTAATTGATCAATGGGATGGTTCTTGGGAGGGCAATGAGTTGGATTTGGTAGGGATTGGGTCTGGGAGACAGCTCCAACTCTAACCCAACTCCCTGAATTTTAATCTCTTTGACACTAGCTTGGTTATTCACCCAACTGACTCAAGAACAAGGAGGTGGTGGGAAGATGGGAAACCAAAACTAAAAAGAAGAAGAATCATGAAAGTAGTTTGAATCATTCAAAGTCCAAACTGCAAAGCTAATTCAAATTTCTAAAGCAATAGAGTTTTAGCTTGTAAACAAATGCAAGTGGAAGGGATGATGTTGTTAATTATCTATTTGCATAAAATATGTTATAATATACTTTGTGATGAAGGGAAATTTGGCCCGACCTCGCAATCACCTGACACGTGGCAAAAGCAAGCAGCTCGGGGCAGCAGAGCGCCCAAAACGAGCACCGAAAGTAACCAACAGTCCAAGCTCACCACTAAGCCCGAACTCTACCAAACCGGATTCCCTACTACGAGCCCGAGCTCCCTGCTAAGAACCCGAGCTCCCTACTAAGAACCTGAGCTCCCTACTAGGAACCCGAGCTCCCTGCAAGGAGCCCGAACTCTCGGGTCCTAAGCCTCACAAGGCCGTGACCCGAGCTGGCCCATGGCAGCTCGGAACACTCCCCAAACCGAACTCAAGACTCATCTCGCTCGCCACTTCAGCACTTCGCTTCCGAAACACCAGACTGACCAAAC